AAAAAATCCTTGGGATTTGTCCCTCATTCTTTTCCATAGAATTGCAGTTTCAATTCACATAATTCTGTAATGTTTTACGCATCATTATTGTCTTTCAATTTAACATAAAACGATCTAATATTTGTACTATATTCGAAGTCAACACCAAAAATCTTCAATTCTGCACAAGTATATGTCATCCTATCATTGTTTTATTTTGACTTTACGTTCTGTTTTTATAACTTAACATTTTACTGTTTCAAGTCAAGACCAAACTACTTCAAATTTACATCGTGTAGTTTCAAGTCAACACATTGTATGATAAGCCTCTCGTGACGTCATAATGATATAACATCGTGCTATCTTAGCTCAACAACACGTACTTTCAACTGTACGTCGTGTAGTTTTGAATGAGCATATTGTATGGCAAGCCTATCGTGATATTATTATGATATAACATCGTGCTATTATAGCTCAACATCACATACTTTCAACTGTACGTTGTGTAGTTTTAAATGAGCATATTGTATGATAAGCCTATCGTGACATTCACATGATATAGCAACATGCTATCTTAGCTTAACATCACCTAGTTTCAACTGAAAATCATGTAGTTTTAAATGAGCATATCGTGTGGTAAGCCTATCGTGACATTCTAATGATATAACAACGTGCTATCTTAGCTTAACACCACGTACTTTCAGCTGTACGTGGTGTAATTTTAGATGAGCAAATTGTATAATAAGCCTATCGTGACATTATAATGATATAACATCGTGCTATCTTAGCTCAACAACACGCACTTTCAACTGTGCGTCGTGTAGTTTTAAATGAGCATATTGTATGGCAAGCCTATCGTGATATTATTATGATATAAGATATTGCTATCATAGCTCAACATCACGTACTTTCAACTGTACGTCGTGTAGTTCTAAACGAGCATATCGTGTGGTAAGCCTATCGTGACATTATAATGATATAACAACGTGCTATCTTAGCTTAACATCACGTACTTTCAACTGTACGTTGTGTAGTTTTTAATGAGCAAATTGTATAATAAGCCTACTGTGACATTATAATGATATAACATCGTGCTATCGTAGCTTAGCATTACAAAATTTCAACTGTACGTCCTGTAATTTCAAGAGAGCATCTTAGCTCAACACGTTGCATCGTGTTGTTTTAAGTCAACAAATTGTATGGTAAACATTTCGTTTCAATATAGTGGTGTAGCATCGTGTTATCTTAACTTAACATCATATACTTTCAACTGTGCATCATGGTGTTTTAAATCAACAGATTGCATGATAGACCAATCGTAATATCACAATGATATAACATCGTACTATCTCAGCTCGACATTTATTAATAACAAGGCAGCACCATACATTTTAGCTATTCATTTTATTTGTTATCATAGCTGTCGATGTGGATGACTGAGCAGTATCAATCTGCAAGCTAACATCATGCAACGTCAACTTCACATCATGTACTTTAAACCCAACGTCACGTGTGTTTGGCATATCATCACAACATCGTGACTTATCATTATACTATCACGACTAAAGCACTTGTCATTGCAAGTCAATATTGCGCAAATTCAACTTTGCATATTGTAATTTAGAGTTAGCATTTTGGTGACTCAATTCAACATCACGCTGTCTTAACTTTACATTTTAAGCTTCAGCATAACGTTTTGTAAATCTCTAATATATGACAGCTGAGGCTTTCCATATTTTTGCATGTTTAAACATGTCTCTTTGAAAAGTTTTATGCACAATATATTGTTTTAACAGGGCCCCAGATAGCTTCAACTCGATTGTGACATCATGAAAAAGTTGTGTAATTCCAGAACTTTTCCGGATTGGAATAAACAGCGATAAAGTGTATTAATTGCCTTGTGTGCACAAATTGCACCTGATCCGCCGCCACTCCAATCTGTCTTCTATGCTTGTTAAGATTTGATACATTTGGAAATCCTCCACAATCCTCACACTGGCTTTGCCACACTGATCTATCCATGGTCTACAATATAAAAATAAAATGTTATAAGATAAAGGGGTTTATTCGAATTTGTACAGGGTAATGATAAAGAGCGAAACATTTGTTACATGGTATAGCACATTGCTAAATGATATGGTAGAAATAACATTTTAAGTTAATTGAGGTTTGATGAGGTTAGGTTATGAATTTAGTTTGAATCAATTTTCTTATGTCGTTTTGATTTTTTCTGTTGTCTATGTATACCAAAATTTCGAAAAAAAAACATATTTTTTATTGTTTCTAAAAAAAGACGTAACAATTTTCGTTACTCCGGGAAGTAAATGTTCATCTTGTATTTTAATTCCATAGGAAACGCATATGTATTGTACCAGAGGAACAGACGACTACTCCCTAAGATGACAAGGATGGAATCCCATTCCCAAATGTATCACCAGTTGATCGGATATTTAAAAGTCGACAGGATTTCCACGAGGGCCATGCAATGGAAGCCGCCGACTGATTGAAAGACACTTCATTGAAAATTTGCCCCGGTAATTATGATCATACATAGTTTTTAGCAAAACCTAAAATAGATAAAAAAAAAAGTATTTATAGTCCCAAACTGGACAGTCCCTTATTTTCAAAAATAAAATAAATGAACAGATGAGGTGAATACTGAAAAAAGACAATTATTCTAAAATGAAATTAAAACGACTTAATTTATGTACGGTGTCGCAATAATTGTTAATTTCGAGCCGTTTACGAAAAAAATACTGGACCAAATTTTACAATTTTTTTTTTAATCAAATTTATAGATCATAAACAAATGATAAAAAATAATAACTTCATTTATTGTAGGAAAATCACGGCGCCCATGTCATGTGTGTTCTAGACAGACACTCGGTGGAAGGAACGAAAAGAGGTCACGAGTCCGTACATGGTGTCCGAAATGTAACGTGGGACATTGTCTGGGATATTATTTCCGCATTTACCATAAATGTCAAAATTTTGCAACCCATCGACGCGGCATTCATGAGGAATAAATAATAATTATGATAATAATTTGTTGTATTACTGTATCACATATTGATTGGTATTACCTTTCAACGTATATAAATAAATATTGTACCGGGCCATTCAATATGGCCAAGGAGACACACATACGACTTACAATGACGTTACGCACGTAACTGGTCACACTCAAGAAAAAATACCGTGTCATAAGCAACAATTGGTCACTATATTGTCGTTGCTACTGGAAAACATATAAATTTTACATCAAAATAAAGCTGAATGTCTTGGGAATTTATTTTAAGTCTTGAATGACATTTTAATACAAGTGCATGTGAATAAACCGAACACGATTTTAAAAAATAACGTCATTTTTCTCCTGTCCCGCGTTACAAATAGATGCCGATATTTGGGCAAAATGTGCTGAAGATTGGTGATTTTTTCACCAAAAGTCACCATTTTCGGGCAGCGCAACGTTCAACGTCATAGCATTGTGACGTCAAAAAATTTGAACACAACCAGTACTAGAAGCGAAGCAATACACCTTATCGCTATTTGTCCGCCATTACTGGACATCACAAAAGTTCCCGTAAAATTTTGACGTCATAATAGAAAATATCTGACGCCACAATGGAAAAGTGATTGTTGTATGACGTCAAAAGTTCAAGCGGGACAGATTCTCGGGTCAAGCGGGAATAGCGATAAGGTGTATGGGGCCCTGAATGAAATATTAAAAAGTGTCCCACAAGCAGGGAAATATTTTAGCCGAACTTACGGACTTGATTTTTATGAACAGAATACTGGTAAGTTAATCAATATTGATATCATTATTTTGTACAAAGACTCGCCTTTTAAATCATTTAGTTTTTTTCTTTGTTGTTACGTCGGTTTACACAGGTCGGAATTTTTCTCATGTCCAAGAATTTGTCACAAGTACAGTTTTCACACATTTTCCGGCACTAATCCGTCAAATGAGATTAAATTAATTTGTTTTATTGAATATTTCCTTAATTCTATTTACCGCTTTAAAAAGTACAAACCTTTCTTCGCATTTTGAGCCTTGAAACATGACAATGCGCCCAGGTTTGCACAAATTACAAACAAAACCGCATGTCCAATAAAATGTCACAAACATGGAACTCCGTTTTTGAAAGTTACACGTAACGTTACAGACGTTTTTTGTTGTTGATAATTGTCAAATTTTTAATGTATGCATTGTATGGCCTTTCGAGGGCCCCTGATTTGAATAAATAAATTAGTCTATTCAGAAGCGAGAAACAAATTCGCTCCTAATAATTTGAAGATTACATTATCTGTGAAAATCAATCGGATATTATTAAACTATTCAAGATTATCTGCAAGTGTTTGTATTTGTATTTATTTTTTGTCATCGTAAATCTGTCCTAATCGTATCTAAAATAATTTATATAATAAAACTTTCATAATTATTTCAGTGAAAACAAAAGGATGTCATCTAAGGAAGGACTTGAACGGTACAAACAAGAAAAGCTTCAAAAGCGACGAGAACAAAGGCTTGAATCTTATTACAGAAATAGAAATCTAAAGGAAAACGAATATGCTTTATCAGATGAGGCAGTACGCCAAAGAAAACATAGAGAGAAACAAGAGAAAGAACAAATGAGACGGGTCAAAGAAACGGAGAGAAAACGGAAATATAGAAAGAGAAAACGTGAAGAAAATATCAATGATCAAAGGCAAAACGAGGATTTAAATATTCGAAATACTTTCGAGAATAGAACAGAAAAACATCGGGCATTGAAGAAACTGAAACTGGCCCTACCAAAGAGCCCAGACAGGCGGGTGACAACCATGGTCGCATACTTGCAAAATTCGAACTCGCCGACTGTGAGAAAACTGCAATCTTCTGAAGTGATTTCTTCGCCAGAGCAAATAGAAGAACACAAAACATCAAAAGCCTTGACGGAAGATTTAAAAACAGTTATTGACAACTGTAAGAGGAAAAGACCGATGTGTATTTGGACTTTATTGGAGAAAACCCCTCTATTAAAATAGCTCAAAGAATTTTCGAAAGGTGCAAACCCTACTTTGTGCGACCCGTCCGACCTAAGGATAGACAAACATGTTGCTGCAAGTACCATGTAGAATTTAAAACTGTCTTTAAATCGTGTATGGAATTCCGAAAGAAACTTTTGATAGAAAATGAACCGAATGAATGCTATTCTACTCCTGTGTACGGTTCAATATCTGATGTCGTTAATGCAACATTATGCGAAAAAGTTGATGGTTCACACAATTTACAGTGCCTTAAAAGAAACTGTTCCGATTGTGGAGTTAAAATCTTGAATTTTCTGCCTTGTGAACTTGATGTATCTGACACTGCGGAATTTGTAAAGTGGGAAAAGTTTGAAAATGTAAGCGTTAATGTTAAAGGGAACAAAACCATAAAGAAACTAATGCTCGTGAAAAAAGAAAGTCAAGTTGGTGAATTGTTTTCATATTTCAGAAAACTAATTGAAACTTTTCCAGTGCATCAGCACAGAGCTACATGGCAAAATGAACAATTTCAAAATCTTGTTAGAAATCTCCCAGAAAAGCAATGTGTTTGTGTGCATGACTTTAGTGAAAATTACAGGTGTTCCGAGCTTACTGAGATTCAAAGTGCTTACTTTCAAAAAACAGAAGTGTCGGTCCATGTTACTATTCTACATAGACATGCATTGCTAGAATACGATGGTGTTGATAGTTCAGAAGACTTTCCTGAAATTATCACGGAACAATTTTTCGTTATAAGCCCAGACTTAGTTCATGATCAATACTTTTTTCACCAAGTCCGAAATTATATAGCGGAATATTTACAGTCGATTTCATATTCAGTAGAAACAATGCACGAGTTTACTGACGGGTGTGCAGCCCAGTATAAGAGCAGACACTGTTTCGGAGATATTAGTCAAACAAGCGACGACTTTGGATATCAACATTTCACAAGAAATTTCTTCGAAACTTCCCATGCAAAAGGTATTTATAATAATTTAGTTTATTATCCTCGAACTTACTACTATGATTGCCTTTAAATACAGTTGAATGTCAGTCCGTCTGTCAGTCTCTACGCTAGATATCTTGGACACAGATTTAATGATTTTTCTCACGTTTTCGAGTACAATGGAATACATATTATTTAGCTTTTGTTTGAATATTTATGAGTTATTTGTGTAAAATGTCAATATTTTAAAAGCGGTCGGGTATTCACATTATCGGTAAACTGTTTTCTTTCAATCCGTCACATTATGGGTTAATGTTTGAAAACATTATTCTAGAAAGTTTTTTTTTTTACATGTTTTTTTTATTATATCGAATTTGAAATAAATGTATTTTGATAAAACATGTGCGTCGGACTAAATTACACCTGACACAAAAATAAATACGTTGTATCAAGGAACAGGGCGTTTATTTCTGTTCTTCATCTTGGCAGTCGCTGTAGGGTATTCAATGTATCTCTTATATTTCTCGTGACTTTCGGTATTGTTACTATTATAAAAATCATAAACCTTGAACGCGGTAAAATGGTAAGGTCCAATGTCATGCAGTTGACATAAAAAAAACTTATCTGTGCTTTTCAGGACCACAAGACGCTGCTGGAGGAATTATTAAGAGACAAGCCGACTGTGCCATTTTACGCGGACAGACTCAGATAAGGACAGCAAAAGATCTCTATGAATACGCGAATTCATTTCTAACACAACCGAGGTCACATTGTAAGAGAAGAATATTCCGATATGCGGAAACGATTCACCGTGACAAAAGACTGTCTTTTAAGCCGGTGCCTAGCATTCGATCTCTTCACCAAGTAAGAGCTAGTCGTGATTCTGCTAAAGGATTGATAAATATCAGTGAATTGTCTTGTTTCTGTGTAAACTGTTGTCATCACATGTATGACCAGTGTTCTAATTCGATAAAAACTGGTGGTTATACTGAATGGGAAATGAAGCGAGAATACAGAGCGGATGCACAAGAAAATGAAGAAAATGAGCAAGTGTCTTTGCAAGAATTAGTTTCGGTTGGTCAATTAGTTGCGTTATATACTGACGACGATGAGGAGGAGTACTACATGCTGAAAGTAGAGAAAAGCATGGAAACGTTACGCATTGACACAACGGATTCTTGGGGATCTTTACTCCCTGCGGGAACACCTGTGTTTCGTGGTCTATATTACAACAAAACGAACTCGCCTTTTCAATATCGTCTTGTGAACAGGAAAGCGGTTGTACCTGCTGCGTCAGTGGTCTATATTTGTTCGGAAGTAACCGCAAACAATGTCATTCGAATCACAGAAGAAACACATTTAAATGTTTTAGAATGTATTAATGAAATAAAATGCTAGAAATTTATTAATCAGTATTTATCCCTATAAAGAAACAGTAGTTATAGAAACCAATAATATATGAAAATATATACATGTACATGTAGGGAATGCTTTAAAGAGGTAAAAACGAATGGGGGGACAATCGTGACAAACATAAATTCATACGTTCGTTTAACAACAAGCGACTTGGATAAAACGTCAGTCAAAAAGTGTATTTCGACGTTATTTTTTAAATGTAACGTCAGGTATCACCAGTATCGTGCGTAACGTCAATCTCTACATCCCCCCTCCACCCCCAATAACACATAACCTGTGTTTCTAAAACAAATAACTAAATCAACGAACAACAAGATAAGTGATATACATCTGTGAATTATTAAGGAGGAAACATTTTTTCCTATATTTATCTGAAGAAGAAACTTATATTTCAAAAAGGGTAACGTTATAGCGACAGAAGTCTGATTACACAAGATAACGTCAAAATAAAAAGTACGCCATTAACTACAATATAGATATTATGACGTTCATTTATTCAATGACGTTGCGCATTCAACGATTCTAGAATATTTGAAGAAGCTGAAACGTTTATCTAATACATTACATAGGTTTTTGAATTTCAAATAAAGAGGAAACTATGTAAAATAAAGTTTTAAATTTTGCCATTTTCCCGTATTTCCTGGCGTATCAAATGCAACAACATAAAGCAAGCGGCAGCAAGAGGGTTAAAAGCTAAAGTAGCACTATAGTTCATGTTTCCGGTTTAGATTACCTCGCCTTCACAGTAGAAATTTTGATACATTAAAAAAAAGAGACCTTTTCTTGGACAATTTATTATCAGATCTCAACACTTATGTTTTTAAATACAATGTCTACTCTCTTCGATAATCACCACAAACGATCCTTCTTGTAGCAAATAGTGATTGGTGGTCAGTCCAAACTTAGAATATGTCTATGAGACATCAACCCAACGACACAAATGAGGTAACATTTAAATACAAACACGTATAAAAAGTGAACATCTTCAAAACCATTCTGATATTTTCTAAGTCAGGAACCCGTTGGTACCTTCTGTTAGACTTGATAAGACAGTTTTAGTGATTAAGTGATAGCAAACTTGATATATCACCAGACATATGAAAAATCATCTCGTTTTTGACGATTATAGTCCCAAAACTTTGGTAGGACTATTGTGAAAATGATCAAAATCTTATGAAAACTTCAAGATTTAAGAAAATCAAAGAATCTTTGCCGTTGTTGCCTTTAGTAGTTTTAAAGGCCCAGTGACATAGATAATGCTACCATTTCTAACATAACAGTATTATATGAAAACCAATTTGGTAAATTTTTTATGTCAAATCTAATAAAATTTTCCATGAAAAGATGATAATTTTGAAAGACCTTGATATGAATATAAACGTGTTACTGTAGTTGAATGGCGTATGAAAGTTGATAAAGTTTCCAGAAAACTTGCTAAATTACAACAATCTTATTATTTATGTACTTATGATTAGGTAACGCAAATGATGAAGGCACCCAAAAGTCATTCCCAACAAGTAAAACAGGCGACACAATGTATAAAACATGATTATTTCGTTGTATACTTTTAAAATATCTTCAAATGCTTCGAGAGACAACGTTATCAGTGTGATGAATGCGCATGCACTACGTATTGTTATGTCACAAACTGGACGGAAAGAAAATATTTCGAGAAAGCAATAGCATTGGTTCAACTTAACAGTAAAGAACTATTATCATAAAATAATTGTAAAGTTTTTGATAAATAGTAAGTAGATACCAAAAATCATAAGACGAAGAAGAGCAGATGGCACCATAGTAAATTAGTCCAGCCCTGGCCTCAGTGACTTATTTTCAATTTTTATTTTTTTTGTTGTCACTGATTCCAGCTCGCCCTCCATTACATTCAATGGTGCAAGCTCCCGGGTAGATTACCCGGGGACGATATAGACAATACCAGAGCGCTCAAGTACGAAAAATGTATAACAAATGGTAAAACTTGATAAAATAAACAAGTTACATACCTGAAATTCTTATACACTATATGGAAACTCATTTTAACAGGAGGAAATCCCTTGCAGTTGGAGCTGTGGAGATCTTGTTTACATCAGTAACGCTATATTACGGAACGTGACGTTTCTACGCTATAACGTAGACGAAACGAATTCAATGTATCAATAAAGATTTTCAACGTTTAAACTCGTTACGATAACACGACACCGAATGGCATATCTCCCGATATTTAAATTTTTGTGGCACACTTGTATTTTGAATCGAGTTACATTAGCATATGTCATTGTATGCAATAAAAACTTAGGTCACCATTTTTGTTTTTGTAATTTTCATAAGAAAACGTCAGTCAATGTTAACGTTGACGACAAATTTTTTGAAGGGGAAATATATAACAAATGGGGCTTGGTATTTTTGGGGGGTATTTGAATTAACTTAAACTTGCATAGTTGATTTATGTATAAAATTGACAAAGTGTTTTTCATCGAAGGAAATTCAATGTTCACACTTGTAAGTGTTTTTGAACCAGGAATGATTACAATAGTGCTTTTGTACCAGAAATGATTACACTGATTTTGAACCAGGAATGATTACATTGATTTTGAACCAGGAATGATTACACTAGTGATTTTGTACGAGGATTAATTGCACTAGTTATTTTGGACCGGGATTCCGAATGATTACACGAGTGTTTCAGATCCATACATTGATGAAGTGTTTGGGTACTCATTTTGATTTGAACACATGATAACACAATAACGTTTTATTTACAAATTACATTTAAATGATTTTTCTATGTAAATCCATAAAATCTTATGATTTGAATTGTCATTAATTGTAATAATCATATACTGCATTTCCGAAGTTTTACAGTGCATTTGCGTTTTAATCGACTTAAAATCATGTCTTCTATGTCAATATCTATATATCATAAAGCGCCGGATAGATTGATTCAGATCAATTACACTGGTTCCTTGAAAATTATTCTAATTCCAACCCATAAATGTATGTAAACAATAAACCGGTCAATATAAACAAAACAACGATATCAAGATCTACGCTTTCAAGCTATTTACATCCAATATTCTCTAGTGAAAAACAGGTATCCGGAATAAATCCACGGTGGAATGAAATTACGCTTACATATGCACCCTCTATATACTGCAGTCCTAAGAAATTAGCCGTATAAAACCTATTTATACCCAGTACGGTTGGACTGTCGAAAGGTCACGGTTAAAACAATATATATATATATGTTATGGTGCTATTTTATAAGGAATGTGGTGACAATACAAATATCATTGAATATGCAGTTCATAGCTACATGTATAGTGAAATGGTAATTTGGAGATCTGAAATGAAGCAATGTTAGCAAACAAACATGTACGTCATTTGGTCTTTGGTGGAAAGTTGTTTCATTGACAATTTTACCACATCTCCTTATTTCATTATGGTTTGAGTTTTCTCCAGAAACAAAAGAAGTTTAACGACTTAAATAAATATGTACTAGGAAACTGAAATATGTTACTACGATAATTAAAATATGGCTATTGTTGTGAACGTGATAGATTTAGTTCTTGCTATACTAAATATACTTATATATCTTTCCAATCCAGGGGACCAACGTTTACTAAAACTACAAATTAGAAGTACAAAGATACTAGTCCATAATGCATTAGTCACGATTTTCTAGATATATGTGGTTTTGATATCATTAGTTGCATAGCTGTTGCTATCTTATTTTATATCCATATCTCCATTTATTCACACAAAGAAACACCAACACTATTTTTTACATACATAAAATTGAGAGTGGAAATTGGGAATAGGTCAAAGAGACAACAACCCGACCAAAGAGCAGACAACAGCCGTACATACATACTTGTTTATTTGCTCTAAAAACTCCTTATAAGACTATGAAAACCCTCGGGCTTTTCCCCGACGCCTATATGTGAGCAATATGCCCTCCCCCCAAAAGGCAACTCTGTTAATCGTCTTTCAGTCGTTTTGTCTCCCCCTTGAACTTGTTCATTATGTCCAACTAAAAAAAAAACACAAAAAAAAACACACCATCCCCGAATTCCCAGACGTGAATTAACATGAATATAAAACCTAATATGATTTTAAGATCTCATTGTTTTCAGTCTGTTTCTGCCGTTTGACTTACAATTAATGAGTCATTTGCTTGTAGATTTCGAGAAAATAATTTGTAACGGGACCAGTCTGACTAATGCCAGCCTCCACCGTGCCTACCCACTTGCGTTTTTTTTAGACTCAAGTGAATACGGGGGAGGGGGGTCTGGCTTTAATCAGGCTGTAACGGGACATGAATTATGTAATTTTATTTCTTCCTTACCAAATGCACATGTATTTCTGAGCCTTTGTTAACTTTCTCCTCATTCCGATGTTGTTGTCCCGTGGATACCCCGTTTATACGATTACAAAGCTAGAACTTTATTTTCAAAATATTTCCGAAACTATATCAGATTTCTTCTGTACAGACCAATGAATTTCAGAGACTGATTACACTTGGAACACAGGGAAAGTTATTTGGCCAAATAATCAAGATCAACCATTATTATTTCTCATTCGATGCTAAAAAAAAACCTCTTTTCTGTATGATCCGATGATGAGTTTCAACGTGTGCTTGTATTGTGCTTTTTTTGCCTAATTCAATCCGTATTCTTTCAGTCCAGTAAATTTCGTTTTTTTTTCGAATATTACAAAAGAGTGTCAACCATGCACTTGCAATGCACTATTACTAGAATAGAAGAAATAGAATGATATACAAATGGATGGAAATTAAAAAAACATTCACACCGGTAAAGGAATGGTTTCATGGTTGGCCATATCTTCTAGGACTAAAAAAAACTATAATCTGATATAATCACATGACTATTGTCCATATCTTCGTAAATTTTCAGTAAATGACTGGACAATAACAAATCTCTTCATCAATAAATCATTACAATTTTATTCTTTAACAATTTTTCAACCCGA